TTGGAATTCTGCTGTGTAGTCTGTATGATGATGTGATTGATGGCTGTATATCAGTTTTGTACGGTTTCAACTTAAAAAAGTGTCTGCTCCAGACTAATCAGTCATCTATCCAGTTATGTAGCTGGTTAGATTTTGGGCTAGACTGTATTGTCTTTAAGTGGAGGCAGTAGCATAGTGTTAATGTCACTGGACTAGTAACCCTGAGATCTAGCTAATACTTTGCTGGCAGGGTTTTGAATCCCACTGTGGCAGATGGTTAAATTTAAATTCAATAAAAATTTGGAATTAAAAAGTAGACTAAACGCAAAAATGAAATTACTGCCAATTGTCATAAAAGCCCATCTGATAAATTAATGTCCTTTTAAAGAAAGAAGTTTGGCATTCTTACCTGGTTGACTCTTAATTGCCTAGCAAGTCACTCAGTTCAAAGGTCAATGAGGATGGGAAATAAATGCTGAAACTTTCTGTGAATGACTAAAAAGGAGCTGAAGCAGCCCTCCGCTCCAATCCCAACCTCACCATAAAACCCGCGGACAAGGGAGGCGCAGTTGTAGTATGGCACACTGACCTCTACATCACCGAGGCCAGACGCCAACTCTCCGACACCTCCTCCTACCATCCCCTCGATCATGACCCCACCCCCGAGCACCAAACCATCATCTCCTAAACCATCCACAACCTCATCACCTCAGGTGACCTCCCACCCACGGCCTCCAACCTCATCGTTCCCCAACCCCGCACCACCCGCTTCTATCTCCTTCCCAAAATCCACAAACCTGACTCCCCTGGTCGACCCATTGTCTCCGCCTACTCCTGCCCCACCGCACTTATCTCCACCTATCTCGACTCCATTTTCTCCCCCCTGGTCCAGGAACTCCCTACCTACGTCCGTGACACCACCCACGCCCTCCACCTCCTCCAAAACTTCCAATTCCCTGGTCCCCAACACCTCATCTTTACCATGGACATCCAGTCCCTATACACCTGCATTCCCCATGCAGATGGCCTAAAGGCCCTCCACTTCTTCCTGTCCCACAGGCCCGAGCAGTCCCCCTCCACTGACACCCTCATCCGCTTAGCCAAACTCGTCCTCACCCTCAACAACTTCTCTTTCAATTCCTTCCACTTCCTACAGACTAAGGGGGTGGCCATGGGTACCCGCATGGGCCCAAGCTATGCCTGCCTCTTTGTAGGTTACATAGAACAATCCCTCTTCCGTACCTACACGGGCCTTAAACCACACCTCTTCCTCCGTTACATTGATGACTGTATCAGCGCCGCCTCGTGCTCCCACGAGGAGCTCGAACAGTTCATCCACTTTACTAACACCTTCCACCCCAACCTTAAGTTCACCTGGACCATCTCTAACACCTCTCTCACCTTCCTGGACCTCTCTGTCTCCATCTTGGGCAACCACCTAGAAACCGATATCCATTTCAAGTCCACCGACTCCCACAGCTGCCTAGAATACACCTCCTCCCACCCGCCTTCCTGCAATAATGCCATCCCCTATTCCCAATTCCTTTGCCTCCGCCGCATCTGCTCCCAGGATAAGGCATTCCACTCCCGTACATCTCAGATGTCCTCGTTTTTCAAGGACCGCAACTTCCCCCGCTCAGTGGTCGAGAACGCCCTCGACTGTATCTCCCGCATTTCCCGCAACTCATCCCTCACACCCCGTCCCCGCAATAACAACCAAAAAAGAATCCCCCTCGTCCTCACGTACCACCCCACCAACCTCCGGATCCAACGCATCATCCTCCGACACTTCCGCCATCTGCAATCCGACCCCACCACCAAAGACATCTTTCCCTCCCCACCCTTATCTGCTTTCCGGCGGGACCACTCTCTCCGTGACTCCCTTGTCCACTCCACACTCCCCTCCAGCCCCACCACACCTGGCACTTTTCCCTGCAACTGCTGGAAGTGCTACACCTGCCCCTACACCTCCCCCCTCACCCCCATCCCGGGCCCCAAGAAGACTTTCCACATCAAGCAGATATTCACCTGCACATCTGCCAATGTGGTATACTGCATCCGCTGTACCCTTTGTGGCGTCCTCTACATCGGGGAAACCAAGCGGGGACCGCTTTGCAGAACACCTATGCTCGGTTCGCAATAAACAACTGCACCTCCCAGTCGCGAACCATTTCAACTCCCCCTCCCATTCCTCAGACGACATGTCCATCCTGGGCCTCCTGCAGTGCCTCAACAATGCCACCTGAAGGTTGCAGGAACAGCAACTCATATTCTGCTTGGGAACCCTGCAGCCCAATGGTATCAATGTGGATTTCACAAGCTTCAAAATCTCCCCTCCCCCTACTGCATCCCAAAACCAGCCCAGCTCGTCCCCACCTCCCTAACCTGTTCTTCCTCCCACCTATGCCCTCCTCCCACCTCAAGCCGCACCCCTACTTCCTACCTACTAACCTCATCCCGCCCCCTTGACCTGTCCGTCCTCCCTGGACTGACCTATCTCCTCCCTACCTCCCCACCTACATTCACCTTTGCTGGCTCCATCCCTGCCTCTTTGCCCTGTCTGTTTCCACTCCACCTATCTTCTTCTCTATTCATCTTCTATCCGCCTCCCCCTCTCTCCCTATTTATTTCAGAACCCCCTTCCCCTCCTCCATTTCTGATGAAGGGTTTGGCCCGAAACGTCAGCCTTCCTGCTGTTATGATGCTGCTTGGCCTGCTGTGTTCATCCAGCTCTACACTTTGTTATCTCAGATTTTCTAGCATCTGCAGTTCCTACTATCTCTGATACAGCTTTTCACATGCCCTGGTTGTCAATTTTTGATTTCTGCTGAGGCAGAAAATTATAATATTCTGAAGGATCCATGTGTTGCTCATTGCTCAGAACATTCATAAGTCTTTCTTTCATTCTTTGAAACTGAGACAAAGTTCAGGATGCTTTGAAAATAGTTCACTGTGATAGACACGGCCTGATATTGGCTTCCATCTTGAAGAAACCTTTTTAAAACTTAATTTCCAATGTTCAGACTTTTAAAGCAGAAATGTTCTTCAGTCACATTTTTCTTTAAAACCTATAATGTTCGATTGTACTTTTGTAACATTGCTTTCAAGTTGCAGCTACACTGGTAGGTTTGCTGCCATCTCAATCAGTGAGTTCACCAAGTGGAGTGCAACTAGTGATTAGTTAACTGGTGGACTGGATCTCCATTTTTGATCAGGTAGGTTCCATAATGACCCCAGCCTGCCAGTTCCTGTCCAAGTGATGATGGTGAAAATTATCCCAACTATTACAGCATTTTGGAAGAAGTGTTATTTTTTTCCTGTAATATATTGTCACTGCAGTTACAGTATTCATACATTCTCATCAAGAGAGATTATCCTCTTGAATAGTTCTCAGGAGAAACTTTTAATCAGGAAAGGTTTATAATTAGTGACTTCTAATAGTTGTTCATTATTTCCAAATTTAACATAAAAGTTAAGAAATATAAAGCAACATCGAAGTAAGGATTAAAGCAGAAATTGCTAGAAAAACTCAGCAGGTCTGGCAGCATCTGTGGAGAGAAAGCAGAGATAACGTGTCAGGTCCAGTGATCCTGTTTCAGATCTGATTGTAGCAAAAGGTTGGTATATATACTGGAGATGAAGGAGTAAACAATAGGTGAATATGGAGCCCAGCAAGAGAGAAAAACAGTTGGGCAGAATGTGTAAAGATCAGCCTGGGAAAATGAATAGCTGCTAATGGGGATCATTAGTGGCTGACAATGAGTTGTTTGTGGTAGCAACCCATGTGATGATAAGGCCGGGTGTGTGGGGATTGGGGTAAGGACATGGGAGACACAGACTGGGCAACCGCTTTGCAGAACACCTAAGTTATGTGTGCAAAAATGACCCTGAGCTTGCTGTTGCCTGCCACTTCAACATACCACCATGTTCCCTGGCCAACATCTTTGTCTCAGGTTTGCTGCATTGCTCCAGTGAACCTCAGCAAAAGCTGGAAGAACAGCATCTCATTTTCAGCTTGCGAACCCTGCAGCCTTCCAGATTGAATGTCTCGTTCAACAATTTTACGGTAGGAGCAACTTCTCCCGTGTCCTTATCCCATTCCCCACACACCAAATATTGTTATATGCAAAAACAGAAGTTGCTGGAAAGGCTCAGCAGGTTTCAGATCCAGTGACCCTTCCTCAGAACTGATGGTAGCTAGGAAAATGTTGGTTTATATGCAGAAGATTGGGTGGCAGGAGGGGGTAAGGAGTAAACAATAGGAGTTAACACCTCCCACCACCCTATCATCTGCATATAAACTAACCCTTTCCCAGCTACCATCACTTCTGAGGAAGGGTCACTGGACCAAAATGTTAATTCAGAATTTTCTTCACAACTACTGACAGACCTGGTGAGCTTTTCCAGCAACTTCTGTTTTTGTCCCTGATTTACAGCATCTGTAGTTCTTTCAGTTTTTCTTGTTATCACATGGGCTGCTACCACAAAAATTACATTGTCAACTACTAATGGTATCCATTAGCAATTATTGATCCTCCCAGCCTGACCTTTACTCATTCCTTTGTCTGCCCAACTGTGTTTATCTCTCTGTGTTTCATTTCCACTATTCCTCCCCCCAACCTATCTTCAGCATATATACCAACCTTTCCTAGCTAAAATCAGTTCTGAGGAAGAGTCATTGGACCCGAAACGTTAACTCTCCACAGATGCTGCCAGACCTGCTGAGTTTTTCCAGCAATTTCAGTTATTGTTTCTGATTTCCAGCATCCACAGTGCTTAGGTTTCTTTTTGATCAAAGTAGGAATTGCTGGAAATGCACAGCAGATTTGTTCCTGTCTAAGAGTAACACAGATTATTGCCAAATTATGTGACACTTCATCAGATTCGTTTTGAATAGAATTACCATTTTATTTAAAATTGATTTATTATTTATTGATTGTTAATTCTAATAATTGTAAAGAAATTTTTTTTTCCCTTTAGTATAACTTTATTACTGTAAGTAATATGTATTTCTTTTCCAGCGGCACTTGTCTCCAGACGAATTCTATCGGGTGTTTGGTTTAACCATAGAAGAATTTAATCGTCTAGCACTGTGGAAGAGAAATGAAATGAAGAAGAAAGCACGGCTCTTTTAATCAGTAAAATATATAAATTTAATCAGGGAAAGTTCATCATGATAAAAAGATCCTACCAGAAAACAATGTCTGTGCTCACAACTTGAACAACATGTATGTTAATTCATCACTGGATGAATTAAGAGAACAGCCGTGAGAGTGTGTGCAGGCTTACAGGTTGTATTTCTGCTAACCTTGCATGAAAAGCTGAGTATTATAGCCATTAAGCTCTAAGCTTTGACTGTTGTTTGCTGAAAACCTGTAAGAAATAGCTGTCTATTTAAACTATAGCATAATAGGACTGCTTCTCAAAAGAGGGAGGGAAAGGGGCAGCTTGGGGTTTAGAGTCCAAAGTACATTTTATCTTGATCAAAAATAGTTTAAAAATCTTCCACCCTGCAATAATTTGTTATCATCTTTATGAAAGATTCATGAAAGATACTTAAGTACCATTCTGGTACAATAATAGATTATTGCTAATAATTGCAAATTGATGAGAAGGAAGCTAGCATTGGAAATTTGAGATTGGTTATCGAAATAGATGTGAGTTTCATGACTGCTTCTCACATAGTTATGGAAGAGTTGTTTGATGGGACTCAGGAGAAGAGCAAAGCTAATACTGCACTTTATTCAAGTATACACAGGCATATACTCAAAATGCTAGCATTGTGTGCAATCTGCTAGATTAGCATCCATTAATATATCGCTAACATCTTTCTTAAATACACATTTACACTACTCAGTGACTATATTTAAAAATGTTGCAATAAAGTACTGCATTATGTCTGTGGGAGTTACATGTTAGCTGACTGTTGTTTGCTTGCAAGGCTCTATTTATAATCAGCTCATATTTGGACCTAGATGCTTTTTGTGTTAATGATGGCTGATGTCATTCCAATTTCGTGCCTATTTTCAGTAATCTACAGAATAACCAACCCACTTCTGTTGAAATTGTTCCTTGAAGCTAATTTGAACGTAACATTGAATAAGCAACTAAATTTTAATAAAGCTCTGAGAATGGAAAACGTTTTTTGTTGCCAGAATTCAAGGACTAGCTCCTAAGTGTCCAAGATGGCAGCCAGGATATGTAGGCACTTAAGTGTTGGGTTGGGACAAACAAGAACTGTCCTTTACCCGTGCCTGAAAAGAATGGTATTCTTTTTGTAAGCAAATTAAAGATCTGAAGCTGACTACTTGTCCTGGCTGCAACATTTGTTTGCCCTAAGCCAGCCAGTAATATCACTGCCCTCTGAGGGAAAAAAACACCCAGAACACTTGGAGCAAAATGTCCAGCTTATATAAATGTGAATCATCATCCCATTGTCGCTACCAGTTCTGAAATCTCCAACCACCAAGTCTGGACCCCATTCCTGACATCTGATCCACCCACCCTTAACTCTAACCTCCAGTCTCATAGTCCACCAATACAATCCAGCTCCACAATCAGCAGGCCATCTGATGGAGTCCTGTGATTCAACTTCCCACCTCAATTCCGTGTTTAATACATCACCAACATTAACCACTTTGCCACTGTTAGCTGTACCTTCGGCTGCCTCCCCAGGCCCTGGAATTCTCCCACAAACCTCCTCGCCTCTCTTCAGTTATGATGATCATTAAAACCTATCCCTTACCTCACCTGTCTCTTCATGTGATTTGGAGTCAAATTTTGTTTGATAATGATTTTGTGAATTACTTTGGAATGTTTTACTAAGATGTATAAATGCAAAATGTTACTATTGCTGTGTCGACCAACGATTCACGTTTTACGTGAATGCTCCCATTGGACATGGACCCGCAGCATTAAGCCGGCACTGATTTGCCAATCAAATAGAGAGAGGCCACATGACGGCTTGTGTTGGAAACAATGCAGTCATTGCTCTTTTCTTAAAGAATAGGGTAATGATATATTAATTATATGACCTGGAAGAGTTTAATGCTGACACTGAGTGCTTGAAATTGGAAATAATTCTATTTAACAATTCAAACATTTTTTGTTTCATTGAACATTAAAGATATCCCATTTCTTTTTAAATTCAGTGATGCACAATTTCTGGGCCCAAAACTTCTCAAAATCTATGAACTGCTCAGATACTTTAATCTATTTTTTTCTAAATTCCAAGAGCTTAGTCTAAAAATTATTTTTTCTTTTAATCAATGTATACAATGAGCACCAGAAGAATACTGGAAGTTTGTTTTGAAAAATTAGAATTGCTACATGTCTGTGGTTCATTGCAGAGAATATTGGATGAGTTATAAATCTTTTAATAATTGCATCTTCCATTGCAAAGGTTTTAGGACTTTACTTAATGGTGACAACTAGAAAAGATCATTTCTGCAGCCCATGGTGGGAAGGGGCGACCTTCGCAAATTTGTTGTGGTGCTGGGAGCCTGGCTCAGTGTCAACACACATTGAAACTTTGGGCGTACTGCCCATGATGTTCAGACTATTAAAAGGCTTTCAACAAGCAACCCATAAAATTACCCCTTAATAATTGTTTTGAAATATTTACAGAGCATACAAAAAAGAACACTAACACAATACATGTGTGTTGATCATACTTTGGTATTTATTTCTATCTGCAACAAATCAAAAAACAAATGCAAGAAGCAAAAGCTGTAAACACAATGCAAACATTTTACCACCAGCTAGGATCACAGTGCTATTAGTCATGGAGTAGCTGTTTCCAACTCCCAGTGCCTGAATTTTTATAAGTTTATTTTTCAGAATTTGTTAAATTCATGAACAGAGGTACATTAAAAAAAACTTATGGAAGATATTTACCAATCAGTTGGGAATTCTTGGATGAACATTTTGCATTGATACTGGCAAGCTCTTATGTCTATCAGTTGTAACCAACTTTCATTGGTGTAATCACAAGATGTTTGTTTTGCACAGGATCTATTTTGGAGGAACTGTATGAGTTTCAGATATTTTAAATTTCCAATTAATTACAATAAATAGATTAATTACAATAAAGCTCCAATCCATGTACCTGAGATTTTTTTTTTATTTAACACTCATCAACAGTTCAAGAGCAATTGTGAATAGGTACACACCACAAACAGTAGTGGGTTTTCAGTAACTTAGGATAGCTAAAAATATACAGTATAACTTATTTGATTACATTCAATCATTAGATATGATAGGATTTAAGTCGGTCATTTTCTCCTCAGTGTGTCCAAATGGATATGTGGTGTATTTTCCTCTCATCCACAATAATCACATACTCTTCAAAGAAAAGTTATGTTTGGCTCTTGGTGTTCAGTAATGAATCGGATGTAGTAGCATGTTCTACTATAACTATATTTTAAAACCTAAAATTTGCCTTCTCTAATGTTGCAAGAGTAAAACATAAACAAGTCTGCCAGGAATTGCTCAGAATTTCATATTATGGCACAGTTCGCTGAATGTTGAAAGTTGCATATGAGAATGATTTAGTGTAGATTTTAAGTGAATAGCATTTGTACTGCAAGGTGTATTTCACATGATGTATGTTAAGTTGTCTAAAATATAGCAGAGTAAATGTTAGACAATGGAATATATATTCTTTGTAGTTTTCAGTTATTTTTATTCTCTGATATAATTTGGCTATTAGTTGCTGGCTCTAACCGAAAAATAGAAAATTAGTTTGAATACACAGTAGAAAGTCAGCTTTGGCAAGCTTTAGATTATAGAAACTGTTTACAATAGCAGCTCTTTGTAAGCTTAATGGCAATCAGCCTGTGGTAAAATGATTGATGAATTCCTGCAGTCTGGTACCTCCTCCAATGCCTCATACAGATTATATGAAGTTTGCAACTCCACACAGCTCATTCTCAACACAACAAAAAATAGCTGCCAGTACAACCAATACTTTATCCTCTAAATAGGTAATATATAGAAACAGTTGTCCAGTGAATTATTTTTATTGTATTAAAAATCAATATTTTATGTGAATTGTAGTGCAAATTCAAGAATCATAGAATTCATAGAATCCCTACAGTGTGAAAACAGGCCATTCAGCCCAACAAGTCCACAACGACTCTCCGAAGAACACCCCTCCTGGACTCACCTCCTACCCTACCCCTGTAACCCTACCCCTGTAACCCTGCATTTCCTATGGCCAGTCCACTTAACCTACTAAAAATCAGAAAAATATTGAAACAAAACTTAAATGATTGCGTGACTTTGGAAACAGTGCTTTGCAATACAAACACTGTTCGATGCTGGCAGGATAAAATGTATATCAAAACTTGTCATTCCGCATGATTGTAATCTCATCATCACTGAAACAAGAAAAAAAAATCACATTTCATTCAGAAAAAGGAACTTGCAAATTTTTATCAATTTCTCATACTGATATTGGATAAATTAAAGGTTATAAAGCTCAGCCATGTACCACTTCTCCTTTTCACCAGACTAATTCCCTTCAAATGGCAATGAAAGATGCCCTTTAAACCAAAGTGACCCTAATCAGTTTCACTTACCTAAGTGGTAAAAGGTAATGTAAGCAGCAAGCATTGCAAACCACATTTGTTCTAAAAATACTTTTCTGCAGTACTGATAGAGTTTGAAACTGAAGCCAGGCTACTGAAGTACAACATTGTTTCTTGTGATTTACAAAGGAAACTCGAGCTTTTTTCCTCAAATTTCAATTGCTTGCTTGTAAACTCAATCTTTTGCAAAGTAGGGGGAATTTTAGTCTGTTTTGTGGTGAAGTCCAGCTTGTATAGCTGTGTTTCTTAGAACCAGCCATTTGTTTTCCTTGCAGCTTTTACCAGTTACTGATGGAAAGCAGTTGTGCTGTATGAATGTCTGCAGAATTTTGACTCACTTAAACAATACTTCATTTGTTTTAGTCATGAGAAAAGCTTCTATTCCAATTCACATAACACAGCTTATCTATTATTTGATATATTCTCACCAGTCATGTTTCACGCGATTGAATGATTTAACTTCCCAACTTGGACCGTTATTGCAGATTGCATTAGGAAGCAGTAATTTTTTTTGCAAAAAATATCAGTCATCATTTTGTTCATGATTATTGGACTGAATTTTAAGGTTTTTGTCCTACAGCTCCACTTATTTGACGGAAACCTTTTGTTTAATATATAGGTAGGCGGCAGAGCTTTGCAACTATCCAGAAGCAGGTGCGACAGTGCTCTGCGGATGACTCATCCTTTCCTGCCTGGATGCTCTTGGCTTGTGCTGGGTGTGGCTCTATATTGCAGGAAATGAGGGCGGAATTTTCTTGACCCTGTGGTGACAGGTTTGGAAGTTGTTGGTAGGCTGGTAGTAGTGGAGGGAGCAATATCATGACAGTAGCCTGATGCATTCCTGCTAGGATGTGAAGCAGCTACTGATTCAGGGATGGCCTAAATTTTAGTGAATTTATTTTCGGGCTTGTCACCGTCTTGCTGGCAACACGAGTGCCCTCTTTGCCAGGCTGCTAGCTCAATGAAGGCAGGCTGGGTATTCATCAAAGCTGGAGACTCCATGCTATGTTATTGGGCTCAGAGGAAAGTAAGGTTACCCCCACCATGATCCATTCAGAGGGCTTTCCCCTCAATTCTGCATGAAGGAGTATGAGACATTTAATTAAAAACAAAGAACTGTAGATGCGAGAAATCGGAAACCAAAAACGGGAAGTGCTGGAGAAACTCAGCAGGTCTGGCAGCATCTGTGGAGACAAAAAGAGTGAACACTCCCAGTCCCGTGACCTTACTTCAGAACATGTCTGAGAAAGGGTCACTGGGCTCAAATCATAGAATCAGAAAATCCCTACGTGCAGTAAGAGACCATTTGGCCAGTCGAGTCTGCACCAACCCTCTGAACAGCATCCCACCCGGACTCCTAAAACATTAGTTCTGGTTCTCTTTCCACAGATGTTGCCACATCTGCTGAGTTTTTAGCATTTTCTGTTTCTGTGTACGGTAATATAAAACATTTGCTCTGTTATATAAGTAGGACCATACAATTACCTATATAAAAGTCGACAGTGGGGTATCTCTTGTGGCACAATTGTATTATCGCCAGGTCTAGACCAGGAAGCCCAGGTTCAAATCCCACCTGCTCCAGAGGTGTGTAATAACTATATCTATAAAATAGATATCTAGAAAATATCTATAAAAGTGGACAACTGAACCTGTTCAGAGATAGAAGGAACTGCAGATGCTGTAGAATCTGAGATAACAAGGTGTAGAGCTGGATGAACACAGCAGGCCAAGCAGCATCAGAGGA